ATTTATTAAGCAAATTACAAATTACCCGTAGTTATTTAACCACTGGCTTTAATTACTTAAACAGGAAGATAAGTGGTTTTTGGCTGGCTGCCCTTCCTTTCCTGGCCTTCCTGCCGGTTCATAACTGTTTGGTTTATAACATTAAGTCCTTCCTTTTGTAGCTAAAGCCTTTTGGCTACGTATTATTGTTTTTTCCCCGCCCTTTTTGTTAGTCGTAAATATTATTTTTCCTTATTATTTAACCATTCCTTTTTTTAATAAAATGTTTAGACGAGTCCAAAAACGTTCCCAAGCTCGTCCGACCTTTCGGCGCAAAGATTTGCTTTCTTTGGTTTCCGCGTCGGCGATCGACATGTTTTTTTGTTCTTTTTGCTTTAAATCTTTAAAAAAGGACTCCTGCAAAGCTTTTCCTTAAAATTCCTTTCGTTGCGTAAAGTGCTTGCGTTGCAATCGTTTTGGTTACGACATTTTGGGTCCTACCTTTAAGCAGCTTCGTACCATTGGTTTTTAATTTCGAAAAATCAAAGCCGAAATCCAAGCTGTGGAAAACAAGCGTTATGCTTTAAATAACCGCCTTAAGCGCTTTCGCAAACAAAAGGACCTTTGGCTTAAAAGGCAGCTTCGTGCGTTATTTCGGGGCATCGATACCGTGGAAGAATTGGAACGGGTTAAACGGGAAGAAGCCGAGCAAGCGGCGGTACAAGCGGCCGTAGCTTTTCCTTCTTTGCTTGCGCCCGACTTCCTTTCCTTATCCCCTGGTTGGGACGAGTCCGGGGTTAATCCTAACCTAGACCTTTTCGCCCTTTTTCATGCCGGTAAATTGGATTGTCCTTAACAACTTCCTTTAGTCGTATGGCGCAATAATAGCGCGCTCGTTCTTGTAGCGGGAAGTCCTGGGTTTAACTCCTGGTACAACCATTATAATCTTGCTGGCGCGATATTTAGCAAAATTATAAACCCCCTTTTTTTTGCTTAACCTGCTAAAGGCTTTGTAAAATGTCGTGCTTGCGGGCGTGCTTTTTGCTTTTTCGGGTTGTAACCGCAATCGCGATATTTCCTTATATTTTTCAATAAGCTATTGTTAATTCTTCCGTAAGCGATACTCCTGCAAAGCCTTTTGGCAATTTTTAAAATTTATCGTACTTTTTTATATATTGTATTTATCCCCCCAACCTTCCTATTTAACGAAGTACTGCTTTTTGCGGTAATGCGTTTTTTCGTTAAAAATGGCTTTAACATCCCATTTTTGGTTGGGATTAACTTTTATTAACTCGGTGCTTACAAAGCTTTTAAACGCTAATTCCAGCAAAAAAACGTAAAAAACGGGGTGGATGCGCATGGTTAAAAATAGTTAAAGTTCGTAATTAACCGGAAAAATAATTCGCTTAACCCGGAAAGGTTCGAATTTCTTTTTATCCAGCTTGTCGTTTAGCCTTTTTATTTTAATGTTAGTGCGTAAAAGGTAAGCGTTATCCCTTTTTTAAAAGTTAGTCCTTTAATCCTTTTTTTGTTGGCTTGCTTGGTTATTCGCTGGCGAAATGTTTTTAACTTGTTTTGGAAATTTTTGTACAGTTTAGTAAGTTTTTTACTTCCAGCTCCGCTGCAAAAGCCTTTTTTCCTGCTTTGGGTTCCCGGTACGCTGTAAGTATATACCCGTAATTAGCGTAAAACGGCGTTATTCCGGTACGTTTATATACAAAGCTATTGTACGCGAACTAAGCGATGAGCAATAATTGCACCCAATTGGTTTGCTTGTAATTAACTTAATAGCGTAAGTACTGTTTTATAATTTGGTTGGTTCGCTCCGTTTGTCCGTTTGTGTTACGACCACAGCTACGGGGGAAGGGGGTCGACCGCGACCCCAAACCAAAAACCCCCGCACAAGGCGCTGCTTCACTTTGGGAGGTTACGTAACCCTGAAATGCTAAGGATTAATGTAATACTTATTACCATTAAGCAAGCGATTAGTAACGATTAGTTACTTAGCAAAACTTAGCAAAGGAATTGGTACAAACAACCAGGAATATATAAACAAGGGGTTTTTTATGTTTTAAATAGTTTTTAATAAATGCATTAGCATTAATTAATTTAAATTAAATTTTAAGTACCTTTTAAAATAAATATTTAAATTTATACTTTAAAATTTAATAAACCATTTTAATTAACCCAATTTACAATTATTGCTTAATGCTTTTTAAGCGCTTTACTTTAAAAGCAAAAGGTTTAATTGTAACAATTTATTTATAAGTAATAAGCTATTAATAAAGCGTATTTCGTTTCGAAATGTATTACAAAAGCTTTCCAAAACTTGCTTGTAATAAAGCGTTGTAATACCTCGTAATTTAATATTACGTGCTTAAAAAGCGTACGTGTTACAATTAAACCTTTGCGTTTAAAGTAAAGCATTTAAAAAGCATTAAGCAATAATTATAAATTAAATTAATTGGGTTGGTTAATTAAATTTTAAATTGCAAATTTAAATGCTTATTTTAAAAAGTACTTAAAAGCTAATTTAAATTAATTAATGCCAATGCATTTATTAAAAATTATGTAAAATATAAAAAACCCCTTTTTTATATATTTTTGGTTGCTTGTGTTACAGTTAAGCCTCTGCTCTTAAGGTAAGGCACTAAAGGAATACTAAACAATAACACGTAACTTAATAATTAAAGGGATTTACAGGATAATTTGGGTGCGGCTTAAATGCTTAACGTAGTTTATTACCTAGTGGATTACATTACTTAGTGGATTACTAACCACCGACTTCCAGTTAATCGACGCGCATGCCCACCAAATAACGCCAGAAATCCATTTAAACTATTCGGAACTGTATACATTGAACGTTTTTACTTTTTTTTAACAGGTGCGCGCATTGTATCCGGTTTTGCCGCACGTGCCACATCGCCGACGAATCGTCGTCGGCCTTTTTTTTTAACCTTTATGGTTGCGGATTTTTTGCTGTAGCTATCCATTCAAATCCTTTTGGTTCAAAACATTTCGTATTTTTTTAACAATATGTAACCCTTTTTGCCAAATACGTGTTTTTTTGGCCTTCCGGCGTTTGTTTAATGCTTTGTTCGCTTTGCGTAACGAAGCAATTTCGGCTTTAAAAAGGGCCATTTAATGCATTATCGAATTTGTCCCTTTTGCAAGCTGGTTTATAGCTATTAATATAGGTAACGGAAAGCTATTTCGGTAATTAAAAATTCGAATTTTAATGTATTTGGATTGCAAAGTTGCTTTTTTGGCTATTTGGGGCGTTTTGGAAATCCAAGGTTCGGGGTTGCTTAAAAGCGTTTTCGGGGGAATTGGGGTCCGTAGCTTTACATTTAACTTTTTCAAAACCGAATCCGAATTAAAAAAAGCAAAGCCAGCCCTTCGAAAGCCTTTTCGAATGTTTTTTTCGGTTATAAAATTAAAAAATGCCGCTTTAAACGCCGAAAGGAATTTAACTTTGGTTACGTAGCTAACGTATAACTTTATTAAATTTTCGATTTTTTAACCGTACGCTTTTTTTAACGGGCTAAAGCATTTAACGTTAAGCGGTTAAAGGAAATAAAACGAATGCGAAAGCATGCAAAGCGTAATAATATTATATTTTTAGCAATAAAGCTCGAAATCCGTTAAATGGTGGCTTTCGTAGCCGTTTAGCACTAACAAACGATGGGTGCTTTTTGTGCGCAATGCAATGTGCTTGTTAAAATGCTAAATCCATTCCAAACCAAGCTCGTTTGTAATTTACCCGTTGGCATTTGTTAAAATAACCCAATTGCGTAAAAAGCCGGTTTTTAAATACCAATTGGCTAAATGGTATTGCCTTTTAAGGATAATAAAAGGGGGGATCGCTTAACCGCAACAATTAACCCTTTGGATAATTGTAACCCATTTCCGGTTGTTAAGCTGGATTAGCTTTGCTTTGCTACAGCTTTTCGATGTTGTAATAATTATAGCGGCAACGATTATGCTTATAAAAAAGCCGGTTTCGTCGAAATTGTAAATATCGTTATCCAAAATGCCATATTTGGCCACAATGTTCCGTACAAGGTTAAATTAAGCAAAAACGAGCTTGGGATTTTCGCACTTGGCCCTTTGGTAATTGTACTTTCGAATCCAACGCGTGCCAAACTTTGCGTAGCGTTTAACGAACCTTTTAACCCAGCATTTGCCAATGGCGCCCGCGTTGCGTTCGGCGAGCAATCGGTTAGCCATATTTTTAATACCAAAAGGCCGGAAAGGGAATGCGCGAAAATCCAGCTCGAGTATGTACTTAACAAGCGCCTTTTTTTCGGATTCCGTTAATTTGCGAGAATTAACCTTGCTGTTGCGTCGAGCAAATTGCCCGCTTTTTCGCTGGGCGAAAGTAAAATAGTTAACCGCGTAAATTTTGGCAGCACTTCGGACGCTTAATTTTGGATCCAAATTGATGGCTTGAAGGGCCAAAATGATCCTGCTTTCGTCGCTTATGTTTGCCATTGTTTATTGTGGAAATTTTCGTGGATAAAGTTCAATTAACGCGTGGACGCGTGTTACTGATCCACTAAGTAATGTAATCCATTAGGTAATAAATTACGTTACTCCAAAGGTTATTTAAAAGCTAATTTAAATTAATTAATGCCGGAGCTTTAGTTAAAAACTATTTAGGACAATAAAAAATCCTTCCTTTTTATACCTTTTTACCAAGCCATGTTATATAGCTTAATCCAGGTAATTTTGCTTTCCCACTTGGGACCGGCGAAATCACTTGTGGTCGGGGGTAATCTTATTCTCCCAACAGGAATCCCTTAAATCACCCAAATCACGTGCCAGTGCGGGGTAAGCTTCCTATCCCTTCCTTCTCGGGCCTTGCTTCCCTCCTGGCTACCTGGTGTGGTTGTTGGTTGTAACATTACCACGGCAATATTAACCGGTACGCGCGCTTTAAGCAACCTGTTTATGTTAGTATTAATAAGGATTGTTGCGTAAGGCGCGGCATTTACCATAATACCGGCTTCGCAAAGTGGATGCTCCACAACCAGCCCCGCAAGCATTACATCCAGGCAATCCACGCCCGATTCATTATAAGCAACAACCTATCGCGAATTTCGAAAAACCAACCCCCCGACAACGAGCTCCCCTGGCAGATCTGGTACCCGACCCGCGCCGCCGCCGAAACGTACGTCGAGCTCGCCCGCCGCAGGCCGTACATGCGCCCCGCCGTGGCGCGCGCCCTGATCGTGGCCGATTACCAGACGGAGTGGGACGAGAAGATGGATTAGGATTTTGAGTTCACGCATGACATGTTCACGCAGGCGAGGGCGAGCCCCAACCCCCACTACCTGGCCGACCTGTACGCTCGGAAGGGGATGGGAATCCCTGAAAGAGACGTCTACCGTCCCGAGCATAACTGCGCCATCCCGTTCGAGACGTGTTTCGACCTCAACCTGCAGTCCACGCTGTCGGTGGCGAGTGTCGACGGCACGTGCTACCACGAGCCGGAGGGGGGACCTGGCATATACAATGGCTACGGAGGAGAGGAGGCGCATGCGGATAATGTGAAGCTCTACATCGCGACGAAGGACGAGGCACGCCCGCCAAATGACGGCAAGGGCGATGTTAACCTGCCACACCTGTGGGAGGAGCAAATAAGGGGCGGGTTTTCCGAGGAGGGAAAGAAGTCGGTCGTGGACTATCGTGGGCCAGGAAAATGGGATCGGTACCGAAGACGCGGGAGAGGAGGTCGGTACTAATGGACCAGCTGGTGGGCTGCATCGCGAGTACGTACCAAAACAACACCTCGTATTGACGTGGGCTCCATCCTACCGCTGCTTCCGCGACCACCGAGATAATTATGCGGGGAGGAGGTGGATATTGCCTGCACGGTCGTGATCCACCGTGGATGGATGGTCCATGTGTCAACGGTTCCAGCAATGAGCCCCCGGTCGTGTCTAGGTAACGAATGCACCCCACAGGTGGCAGCACCGCAAGGCCCAGAGCTCCGTGGAACAGCTGTTGGTCCCAGTTCGGAGCTTTAAAGTAGGCACCAAGCCGAAAGCATTGATAGCGATTGGGGCGGATGCCAACTATTATCTTAGCTCCCCACCTGGACCATCGGCGTCAGTCGCCATCGGGATAAGGTTATGAGCACGGTCTCCTTTGCGCCTGCTCTGGGGGAGACTGTGGAAACCCCCGCGCGGCCCGAACCCCCTAGCCACTACATGCACTGCCCGCATGGTTGTGAATCAGTGTGAACCGATTAATTAGGCCGGTGTAATTTAATTACAACTATGGACTAGTGTTGGTACGGGAAGGGGTTTCCATCAACGGTGTATTTATCAAGCCAAGCACCCAACACTCATCACTATCAGAAATGCCTCATGGCGCCATGCAGAAATGAGACCGTTTATAGCGGCCGAGCGGCCAAAAATAATCCATCCCCACCAGACATAAGCGGGTGACAGCGAGAAATTGATTTTTCATGCCACAAGTGAACTCTCCTCCTTTCTAACTGCAAAGGAGGGAAGGCAGAGACATCCATCGGTAATGTGTGCGGCTGACATGCTTTCTCGGCATCCGCAAGGGGAAACCCCCTGTTGGCGGCGGCGGCATGTCTCTCGGCCTGGCTAACACACCTCTGAGGTGCTTAAAAGATATTTCCGCGCCTTCCGTGTCTCTGTGCTGGTTATCGCTGCAGTACCCAGGCCCCCTTCGACACCCCAAACTGCCTCTGCACCCTGGCTGACACCTCACTATCCCCCAAAGCACACTTTCATCATGGTCAGGATCTCCGGCCAGTCCAGGGCCGTCCTGCTCACCGCCTCCTTGGCGAAACTCGCCACGGCGGCGCAGGCGGCTTGCGTTTTCTTCTGGCAGGCCAATCCGGGGGACACGTGCCAGAGCATCGCCCGCGACTGGAGCCTCACTGCCCATCAGTTCGTCGCTCTCAACCCGTCCGTGGGGCCTGCCTGTGCCAACGGCGTCACTTCCGGCGTCGAGTACTGTGTTATGGGCGACCCTGAGACGGGCGGTCCGGCCACAACCACGACGAAGGCCACCACCAGGCCCCCGACGTCGACATCTGCTCCGCCGACCACCCTCCTCACTTCGACCAGCACCACTGCGCCTCCTACGACAACTCAGGACCCCAACATTCCCTCGCCTACCCAGCCGGGCACCATTGAAGGATGTAAGCTCTCTGGTTACCCCTTTTGGCACTCCTCCAGTACCTTCGGGTTCCTGCCTTCTCCAATTTGCCTCTTTTTGTCTGGCAGTCCACACATGTTACTGACAGAGGTGAACAGGCCGGTCATATTACGAGGTTGTTGAAGGGGATGACTGCGAAACCGTCCAGCGCAAGCATAACAACCGGTTTTCGATGGAGGAATTGTACGTCCCGTCCCGTCTACCATCGACGATTCCAACCAACTAGGGTCACTTTGCATACTGATTCATCCTTATCACAGCTACTTCTGGAACCCGGAGGTGGGCGGAGCGGCCTGTGGGAATCTGTGGACTGAATACTACGTTTGCGTTGACGCGGACGCCCGTCTTCCCACGCCGACCGGCCCCAGCCTCCCGGGCCCCACCCAGCCCGGGGTGGTCGGCTTTTGCACCGAGTTTCACAAGGCTCAGGAGGGAGAGGTGTGCTCGACCGTCGCGGAGCGTTATGGCAACCGCTTCCCCCTCAAGCAATTGTAATTCCGGGACCCCCATCCAACTATTAACGCATCGCCCCCATCCCCTTCCTTGTTCGAAGCCGCTTTTCTCACGATGCAGTGTCGCTAACCCACCTTGCTTGGATAGCTATCAATGGAATCCAGAAGCCGGCGGAGCCGAGTGCAGGAACCTGTGGACCAACTACTACGTGTGCGTGGGGCTGCCAACAGGCCTCCTGCCCAGGATGTTATGCCGAGCGTTGGCCCCTCGAATCACGCCAAGGCACGCCAAGGCACGCCAATCTCGCCGGCATCTCCCTGGGAGGGCACAAGGGCCATGTACTAAAACTCTCCGCGCGATGCCGCCCCGATGCGTGCGCTTGTCGCCGCCAACGGCGTCCGGACAGCGCGAGGTGGGGTCGGGGCCACCGATACGTCAGCACGCAGCACGATCGTGCGCCTTATGGGTGGTTTCAGGAGACATTTAGGGTTCGGCATGGCATGGGTGCTCCCTGCGCCGTGCGCTTTCGCTTTCGTATCCAGGGAACTGTCTACTCTTGGCCTCGATTCGGCATCTAGAACGGTCGGATTTCGTCTTGTGGGCGTCCATGCGTTTAATGCAGGCTTCCGCCGCTTTCTGGAATACGCATAGCTCTGCCCTGTTCGAACTCCTTTGTGGGTTGCGGCTCAATCAGTCTAGGAGGAAGAGTTTGCACCGCCGCATCAGTCTCGGGCGCATCTGCCACACTCCGATCAACCTTTACGAAGGCTAGGGGCCGTAGAGAGGAGGGAGGGAGGGGAAAGCATCGCACCGGGCCCGACAGAGAGCAGACAATGAACCGGCGCGGCCCACTCCTTCAGCAGACGTTGCTCACGGCATCTCCTATCCTCTAGCACACAGACCACCCTCAAGCTCTCAAGCCTTGGCCTAGGGGGATCCCCTACTCGCCGCCATGGCCGTCGACGACCTCGGGCCGCAGTTTGTTAAGGCCTCATCGGCGCTCCCCGCCATCACCACGCTGCTGTTGATCATCAGGATCGGCGAGCGATACGACCGGGGCGTCCTCGGCTAGGACGACTGTGCGTTCGGAACGGACTTCCCGCCTTCCCCCACCAGAGCTTCCCTGGCCGCTGACCTTTTGCGTTCGGCAATGTCGCGTCTACAGTACTCATCCTCCTTAGCTGGGTACGAGATGATCCGCGTCTGCATACCGCATATGAGCTGCGTTTCGTTCTGACGTGGGCACACGCGGGCGGCCACCTCCTCGAACAGGTATTTCACGTGGCCTTTGCCACCGCAGGTCTGGCTGGTGGGTGATCCGAGGCTTCCGCGCTGTCACTGTCATCGTGCATGCTCTAACTCAAACCCGTGTCCGGCGACAACCAAAAACACAACAGCGGTGCCGTACGGCTTTGGAAAGCACATGAGCGACCTGCCGGCCGCGCACCAGCAGAGCGTCCTGCGGCTCATAATGGTGGCCTCGGCCACTTGGAGCGTCGGTGTCGCCTTCGCCAAGGCCTCCTTCGCCTGCCTCTACCTCCGCCTCACCTCGAACCGGTCCGTCGGCCACCTGAACCGGGCCGTCATCGCCTTCCAGGCCGTCCAGGCGTCCGTCCAGGTCGCCTACAAGGGTTTTCAGTGCATACCCATGCAGAAGGCCTGGGACGCGAGCGTTCCGGGGTCGTGTGTCAGTTTGGTGCCCATGTGGTGGATGACGGTATGCCACTGTTGCTAGTCTTGGAGCTCCAGCGTCTTCTGTCTGCTGTCTACTGACTGCCGCGTCCGTGGCATGCCGCATTGCCGTCGACGCCAATAGTTTATCTGCAACATCTCCGTCGACCTCATCCTGTTTATCCAGCCGATTCCATACATCTGGCAGCTCCAGCAAATGTCGGCCGCCAAAAAGGCCGGTGTGATCCTGATGCTGTCCCTAGGGCTGTTCATCTGCATGATATCCGTAGTCAGGATCTTACAATCGGTTAGAACGGACAATACAGACATGTCTTGTATGTTTGCCCATCTGTCCCAAGGCCGGAGCGGGGACCCTCACACGGCTCAAGTAGCACAACTGACAACCCACTTTCGCCACAACGCATTCTTTTTTGCAGACCAGCTAGTCGACCCCATCATCTAGTCCGTGTCAACGTGATAATTGGCCAAAACTCAACAAAGGCTGACGTGCGAGTCTTTCCCCCACCACAAACAGTGGGAGGTAGCTGATTTGATCGAGTAGACTAGGGCCGGGGCCAGAGGGGGTAAGGTGGGCGTTTGGTGTGTCTTGTGGCGCGAGTCACGTTCCTTTGGTGATGGCCACGATTCACGCCACGCTGAGGTCAAGCCTTGTCTGCAATTATAACGAGTGTCGCCGCGTGTTGTAATGGGAGCCTCACGGTGGTGTTGGCGATGCCGCTGGCTGCTTGAGAGTCGTGTCCGCTGGACTGCAGTGTATCCACCGATGGGTGTGAGGCTATTTGGAAATCCTAGTGAGTCAATTCGGGGCAAGGTAGAAAGACTGACGGTAAAGCATAAAAGGGACACATTTGCAAGTGGTGTATGAAGACATGTCCAGACTTGTAGTTTCTGTGGTACGGAACAGCAGTCTGCCGCTCCGGAATCGGGGGGGGGGGGGGGGGTACGCTTCCAAGCGGACCAAAGTAAAGTCTGGCTATCCTCCTGCCAGACCCCATGGGTGTGGCTTCGGACTCCGGCTGAGGGTGGAGCGGTTTGCGAAGAAAAAACAAGCATTCAAAGGATTTACATGCTCTCCAGTCCTCTGCCGTGATCCGGAACGCAGCTAGAATCCTGGCAAGAAGGCGGAGGGGCGGTTCCAGGACAGCACGGCCTAAGCTCTGTCACCGGCAATTGGCGATCTGGGCATTCTGGGCTCAATCGGGAAAGTGCACAGCAAGTAGATGCCATCCTAGACGTGCCCTCGCCGAGCGTGGTATTGACCTTCTCCGCAAGCACGGGCCCATCGTGGAGATCCAAGGACTGGGGTCAACAGCTAACTCGTCAAACCTTTGTAATGATATAAATTCTCTGAATTTGGCTGTGGTGCTGACACCGCAAGACGCGAGGTCCTCGCTTCCATCGCTATGGAAAGCAGGGCATGGCAGCCTCCCTAGAGATGGTACTTTGTGAAGTAGACTTGGCGCCAACTAACGTCTCCGGGTGCAGGATGATGTTGAGCAAGCCCTAGCGGCGAATATCCTGCTTCATTGATCGAGGTGGAGGGTCAGCCAAGAGCATGTGAGATAAAATGTGAAACAAAATGTGTATCCGAAGGTGCGGCAACTCACAGATGGTCTCCCGCACCGAGGGCAGCCAGCCTCCCGTGTTGGTCCCCCGTGGGCACCGCCACGCATCGGCCACTCCAACAGCTCTCTGCCGTGCTAGGGGATAGCTTGGAAACATCTACTGTCGAAGCCGGGCGAGGAACTCTGCTTGTGCTAAGCATCGGCTCAGGCGGCAGCAAGACGCTCGGACAGGCGGGTATGGAAACCCTGAGATGGGTCCTGGAAACCAAGGAGCTGCGGCAAGACTCTTTTGTATGTGTTGCTGCGGGATGAAAGGACGCTGTAGGATGGGTTGCTACGTGCGTTACTCGCTGCTGATGGATCCCTGCAAGAGCCGACTGGATACAGTTTGATCATCAGTGCTGGAGGCATGGGAGATATCATGGAATAGAGAACGGCGATTTCATCTTTGAGAGTGAGCTTTGCGCTAGTCACAAGACAAGCCTTTTGTGCTTGGGTCGACGAGCCGATTCTACCTTGACTGCCTCGGACGCTGACAATAACACCCTAAGCAGAGGAGCTTCGTGTGCGATCCAGTGCGGGAGACATCCTCGGGGACGCCGCCAACGAGGTTGTCGGAGTGCTGCTGTGGGTTGGCCGCTGTATCGTGGCGCTCGTGCGAGTCTGCCTTGTTTTCGTGGGCGAGCTCGGCTAGCGGATGCTAGACAGGTCTGTGGGCGCGGCGGGATATTCAGTAGCATGAAATGTTGCCTAGGAGAATAGAATAAAAGAATGATGGCCAAAAAGCGCTAAAAAAATACAGGCAGAGGTGTTCGCCGGCCGCGTAGTCTGTCGTGGCCCGCTCCAGGCCGGCCTGCTGTCCATCTCGCCTCTACCGCTGTTGCTGTTGTTGATGAGGGATATGAACGAGCTAGGACGACCCGGAGCGGAGACGAAAGAAAAGGAGTACGGAAAATAGGGTAGCTACCATCCCTAGGCCGATCTTCTTGTACATTTCATTGGTGTTCTTGTTGTTGCTGTTGTTGCTGTTGTTGACCAACGAAATGTACAAGAAGATCGGCGTGGAGAGGGAGCAAAGCGACAGGTGAAAGCATCTTGTGGGGGAAGTGGCATGGTCGCCACAGTTTGGGGATGAGGCAGGAACGAGAGGAGGGGAAGGGAGCACCAGGAGTGAATAGAGAGGGGAGATACAGTGACTGCTCATGTCGATAAAAGTGGACCCAGCATCGCATCTCAATTTTTCTTGTCCATTTCTCCCTTCTTTCCCCGAAGGTTTTCCTTATCGTCCACCGAACGCGCCATCATTACGCCAACCGCATAAATTCATTCCCAACATCTCCTTCAACCTCAAGTTGGTCTCTCTCCCTCACGATCCCATCGCCGCGGTTACAGGTCAACCGTTGGTGCCTGATATCACCATGAATACGGACCTTATGGACAGGATCTCCTACGATGCGGAGTTGATCGCCACCAAAGTAAAGCCATTCGTCAGCGCCCACCAGTCTTCCCTCAGCCTGCTTGCCGAGGTCACTCGTAACGGCTCTCTTGACGCGAACGGCCAGTACCACCATGCCATCTCATCGGCTTTGGAAGCCGTAGGAAAATTCCTCCATTTCAGCACCACTCTTATGATTCTCATTGCCATGAAGAAAGATCCCGACGATCTTCCTGTTGAGTGGACCGAACAGCGCATTCAAACCGACATTGGCAAAGCTCAAGCCGCTATCGAGGGCCTAGAGCACACCGCCAAAATTGAGCATGCCCTCAGGGTTCAGAATTACCTCTTTAAGTCTGGTAGACTCGATAACTCCAACTTCCGCCTCAGCGCCATTATCGTTATGTTGTCGGCCATGTGGGCTTGGACGCACGACGACCAGCGCGACCCTGATATTCCTGGTGTGGACTTCGGCATGGCTCCTTTTATCCATGTCTCTCTCGACTTTCTCGGCCGGCCGCAGTACCTCGATGGTAATGATTGGATAGGAATGGACGAGGCTCCTCTTGCCAAGATGCCAGGAAGCAACTGGGGCCTCTTCTTTCGCGAGCCAGGCCTGCCCTACTTTCACAACGAAGTCCTGGACACTATGACCCTCACCATTCCCCATGAAGGCCTCCTCTTGATCGAGAATACCGTGGAGACCTATACGAGCGTCGCCCGCCAGCTCAAGCGTGTCAATCAGTTGCTCAAGCGGACTCCCAAGCACAAGAAGGTATGCCGTGTCAATTTTACCCAAAATATTTCATAGCTAACATGGTACTAGGCAGCGGAGGAGTTCCACCAGGCATTCGGCAGTCCTTTCTCCAAGGCAGAGCCCATTGTAAGTTACCAAATCCTGCTGCTTGGCTATATATGCGCTGACATTCTGCAGTCTCAGACCTACATTACCTACGACTATTCTGAGATCTGGACCGGAAGCCTTAGCGGCCTCAAGGTAAGAATCTCCTCTTTCAGCGAAGAGTTTTGATCAAAGCTAATGTCGCTACAGAATATCTCCACGCAGGACGAGACGGGCTGCTATAGGGCTGGCTTCATCACTCACATGGTTGCTCATGTAATGAACCCGGAGATGCCGCTCGGTCACTACGAGACTCTGCAGACTCATCTTGAGCTTACCTTCGCCATCCCAAGAGATGAGTAGTTGATCCAGGGGGAATGGGAAAATGGGGTAGATATATATGGAGAAGGGCTAGATATCACATCGATTCGAGATGGAATATATCATGGCGTAGTCATTTTATTTGCGAATCTCGGCCGTGCCTACACTTACCTGTATGTAGAGAGGAACGAGGGTATAATGGAAACTCTATCTCAGGAAAGCAGCATCAAGAAACAGACGGGGTATATTTTCCACAACCTTCTCTCTCTATCTCTCTATCTCTCTCTCTTTCTCTCTTTCTCTCTTTCTCT